AGGAACCCCAGGAACCCCTGAGAGTACATGTTTGTAAGCCCTTGTGTACCGCACGTGAAGCTCCTGGTGTTCCATTAAGCGTTTGAGGTCCTGTGTTTTTGAGGTCGCCGCTTTGCTTCAAAAAGAGGCCCCAGCACCAGCTGCGCCGAAAGCCACAATGCCGAAGGTGATTGGGGACGGGAACCAACGAGGTGGAAAGATTTATTAGAGTACTGTATGCAAATTCTATATAGAATCTATTAGTACTGTATGCCTAGAAAGGGTAATATAATATATATATATATAGAAAGCAATCTAGTATATTGACATGTGCAAAGATGTAAACTATGTTGACATGAAATCGGGTTCAACAATTCCCAGACACTCCATGGGACTGGCATATTTACATACGTTGACCCCAGGTCAACCACCCTCATGTTGGAGACAAACACCCTACATGGAGTGTTTGGGATTGATTTCTGTTGAGTATCCAGTATTTAACGAGTCCTGTAGGAGCAGCTGGTGCGAGCCGGAGGGAGCAAAGTCCTGGCCCAGGGAGATCCATGCTGTTTCAGCCCCAGGAAATAAAAGGGGAGTTCACAAAGGCCTTGCTATATAGTAAGTTCATAGTAGGTTGGAGGCCATCGCTAGTAGGGGTTGGAGTTGGAGGCCATCGCTAGCAGGTTGGAGCAACAGGTGACAAACCAGTCGACCTTTGTCGGCCTCCGCCCAAATTCCCAGCCGTGGAGTCGGAATTTGTTATGAACATCATTATATAACCTAAGCTCATCATGAACGAGCTGGCTGGTTGGTGGGTGCCACGTTAGCCATTCACCAACCCTTTTGTTGATGAATGGCTTTTGGTGCTGGTACCAACTGCTTTCCATATAGATGATTGGCGATGATGCTCCTTGACCAGTGAGTCGCAGACAGAGCCCTCCACTCACCGTAGCCGAGCGTAGAAGCAGACTCAATGCTTAGGAAGATGGATGTTAAACTATAACAGTTAATGTTCCTGCAATTATGCTGACCTTTTTGTGTCTATATATCCATCCTGTTTCCATTTTTGGATGGGGACCAGTGACTCATCAGTCCTGTACATTGGGTCTTGGGGCACTCCGGCTTTGCAACTGGCACCCGCAGGCCAAGAGTGAACCCGCCAAGAAGCTGGAGTCCTCCTTAGCATGCATTTGGTCGCAAGCAAGTTGGGTCGACGTCAGCTGAGTAGCGTTTCTTCACTGGCTATTTATATAGATTGGACTGCAACCCCCAGCGAAACCCAGAAGTGTATATGTAGGCACTATGTAGGCACTTCGTCTTCCTGAAGAATCACGGCTCAGCTGATGCCCAGAAGCTGTCAACGTCATTGTTTACACCACCCCAGCAGAGCCGAGGAGCAGAAGTTTTAAGAGAAGAAATAGGAAGCAGGGAAACCTCAACCTGACCGAGTAGGTGTCAGTGATGAGAGGATGCAGCCAGTGGTCATTATCCTACTGTACTTGGCGCGTATCTACAAGGTCGCTGAAACGCGGTCACAACACATCGATTCTTTTTTAACTTGTTCCCATTGTGCTCCGCGCAGCTTTGGCTTTGATGTTATCATGCGCAAGATTCAGTATGCGTCTCAGCCCAACAGTCCCAACATGTCATTCAGAATATGCTTCATGCGCTCGTTCAGCACGATGTCGTGATTTGGTGTCTTCAGTGGGGATGAATCGCTGTGACACATTGTCATGTGATGCCGCGCCCCCGGCCCCACGCATGTCGGACACATGCACAGACAGACACGCACGGCACACGGACGAATTGGATCCTGATTTCTGCGCAAGTGTAGCACATGCGCCATCACACACACACACACATGTGATACACTCGTCCACTGCTTTTTGTAACTCAGAAGTTTCTCTAAAAAACATGTTTTTGATGTACAAAAGAAGCCGTGTGTGGTGCCCTAAGCCGTGCGGCCGCATCCTGATGCCCTATCAAGATCCGGCCGTGATTCCATGTGGCTCCCCATCTCAGGGATTGGGACTGACTCGCTGGATGCTAGTGGTGTAGTGTGAAATTGCTTAGTAAAACAAGGGGGGTTCGGTAAAACAAATTATATAAGTTAATCCATGGTTGTTGGAAGCCCAGGGGATAGCTTTTTCGTCATGTGAACATGTTCCCCAGATATTTAGAGCGGTTTATTTGAGTCATGCAACCAAGGCAAGCAATGTGTATTTTCCTTTTCCGCTTGTGTGTGTGTGTCACCTTGTTTGTTTTCCACCACTTTGATGTATATATATTGATATGGATGTTGCTGTCACTAATGGTAGGATCATGCACCCAGCAATTCCATCGAGTTGGGTGCTATATCAGAAGTCGGATGGGATGCCCCGGTTTCACATCCATAGCCCCGAATGATGGGTTGGAGGCCATCGCTCTTAGGGTGGAGGCCATCGCTCTTAAGGTTGGAGGCCATCGCTCTTAGGGTGGA